CAGATGCCCTGTGACCTGCCAGTCATGGTGGTATGACCATAGTTACAGGTATCCTATCCCAACTGATCAACAGAATGCCATCGCCGTAATACCATCTATGTATTACATAGATGATTATTCAAATTTTTGCCATCGGTGGGTTTTGAACTCACAACCTACCACTTAGGGGATTGACAACTTATTCACTTCACTAAGTTGCTACACCCCTAATAAATTAATTTAATTATTAATATAACTGTAATAATAACAGTATATATACAAATAAACTCAGAGTCAAATAAATTAATTTTAATTAACAATTTGTTTTGTAATTATAACAGCAATAGAAACCAAATATTTAAACTTTTTTTTTAATATATTTTTAATAAGCATTAGATAATACTTGTTAATCTTTACAAAAAAACATACATATACATCTAATAAAATGCCAAAAAAGAAATATAAAAGTTATTCTGCTTTTATAAAACTTGATGCTATTAATTATACAAAACAAATAAGTAATTATGCTGCAGTATGAATGTTTAGTATTAATCATACACAAATTAGTAGATGGTAAAAAAAAGAAGAGAAATTGAAAAAAAACAAAACAAACAAATTGTAAAATAGGATCAGGTGCCTTACTATTGTATCTACTTGCTGAAGAATCATTAAAAAAGTGAATAATTAGTTTGTGTGAAAGAGAAATAAGTGTTATACCTTCTGATGTTAAGAGTAATATGAAATATCTACTTGATACAGAGTTTAGATAAATATATTCTGATGCTAATTACAAATTTCAAGCTGCAGATACATGATTTTATCATTTTATAAATCATTCAAACTTTTTTCTTCACAGATGTACAAAAGTTTCTCAAAAGCTTCCTAAAGATCTGCAAGAAAAACTTTTAACATTTCATGAAGACATTTATAAATTGTAAAAAAACAATAATTTTGATCTAAAGTGCATAGCTAATGTAGATGAAACACCTATCTTTTTTGATATAGTTGGCATGCTTATACTTGATTATTGTAGTACTTATTCAGTATATTTATGTACTACAGAAAATAATAAAAATTGATTCACTTGTGTTTTAGGAATTTTAGCAGATAGAAGCAAGCTTTTACCTATAGTCATATTCAAAGAAAAATGAAAGCCTAAAAGTCAATATCCATTGGAATTAATTATTAGAATGCAGAGTAAAAGATGGATAAATAAAGAATTAATAAAAGACTGAATAGAATCTGTTTGGTTACAAAGAGCTAAAAGTCAAAAAAGATCTTTGTTAGTATTAGATGTATTTAAAAGACATATGACTAATTCTATAAAAGATAAACTTCTAAAATCTAATACAGTTTTAAGTATTATTCCTAGAAGACTTATATCTGTTGTACAACCTTTAGATGTAAGCATTAATAAACTATTTAAGGATAGACTTCATGAGTAATGGAAATTTTGTATAGCTACAGAAGAACATAGATTTACTAAAAAAGAAAATATGAAAAAACTGAAACCTGATTTAATGTATTATTAGATTATGGAAGCATGGAATAATATTTCATCAGAAATTATATCCAAGTCTTTCAAGAAATATGGAATATCTATACTTTGAATGGTTTAGAAAATAGATTAATTGGCATAAATAAAGAAAATAACAATGAATATTTTGTTGTACTCAATAATAAAAATGAGAACAACAAAAGTATTGAAACAGTATCTTTGATTTGAAATACAGTTGACCTTCTCAAAACTGATATGCATAGTGGATAAACTTTATATCAGTTTTGAAAGGTTATCAGATTTGAAAAAAATTATATGATCGGCAGATTATTAATTGATCAATTAAATTATGAAATAAATATATAATATCAATTTTAAAGTTGGGCTATATCCTAGCACTTAACATCATGATGAATTTATAAAATTTAGCAAAATTCAGTTATCAAAACCAAGCATTTGTTCTTCAAATTTAAATTTTAGTTGCCAAATTAATATATTAAACTATAAATATAAACTCCAAAAAATTTTTTTGAACCTCTGATCTAGACTAATAATGTGTCTAACCCATCTTTCCTATATGCTAACCCATCTTTCCTATATGCTAACCCATTTTTCCCACTTTCGATGCATCTTATTAGACAGAAAAATTTATTAAAATGATGTATTACAACTTAGAAATGTTGATTATCTTAGCCAAAATCTATATTTATGTATTAGTAGTCAAATTTTTTAAATTTTGGATATTTTATAAATTCATTGCAATGAATAATGTGTATGTATCAGGTTTGTAGTGCAGACAAAATTCTTAAAGTTTGTTAAGGTTAGATAGAGTTAATGTTTATTATCAGTAGTTAGATATTAGTAAGCTTATAACAGAAACTCGCTCAGAGGATTTTTTTGTTAGTGCACTAAAGGTTTTCCTATGCATTATGAGTGATTTTTTGCAGGATAAATGTTTATTTTGATCAAGTTATGTTTATCTAATTTTGAAATCTAATTCATAGTTTAGGAGATTTGCACTACAAACCCAGTATACACAAACCTTATTCTCTTTTTTTATTAAAGATTTCTTGCTATATATGTATGATTATGTAATGAGTATGTTCGAATATATTTCTGAAAAATTTACTTGTAGATGCTCTTTTAATATGTGTCAGGTTTATGGTGCAATATAACATGATTAGGAAAACTCAAAGCAAATGTTCATTTTGTCAAAAGTTGCTTATTGTCCAAGAATCTGCATAAGAAACCATGTTTAGTGTTATAAAAAAAGGTTTTTCTTAATTGATTTTACTATATTGCTATTAATTCCTAATTCTACTATAAGTGCTAACCTTGATATTAATGAACTTTAAAGAATTTTATCTGTGCCATAAACCTGGCACACATGCAGTTTTTCATTGCTCAGGTATACTAAAATTTTTTGATTAGATAATGCAAATTCATGAAGGCTTTATCCAATAGTGCTGTATTGATTGGAAAGTGTATTATACCATTTTCCTAATATGTCAATATAGAAGATCTCTAGATTATCAGTAATATTAGTAGGTATCAATAAAATTTTCGAACAATGTATACTATCACTATATTTGCATGATAGAGCAAAAATTGTAGTTTTGTGTGATATTTTAATTGAATTTTTTAACACAATAAGTATTTGTATAAGAATATTGATTTCTTAAAAAACAAGTTTTTAAACTCATAAAATTAATATGATAAATGTTATGCACACCTTAACTGCAACAATGGTATTAATTATTACTTTAGTAGAGGTCATCACACTTACTAATTTACATACACTCTATTTAATGAAATAACTAGCTTCCCTAATTAAAAATCGAGTTGTAGTTTTTGCTAAAATAATTGAATTTAATTACTTGCTATTTATTCTTTTTTGTTCTTTATCAGGTTTACATTTTTTTAATGATTTCACTATATGGTCCATGATTCTAAATAATGTAATTACCAATCTGCTAATCTTAAAAATTTACATTGATTAAAGTCAAGAACCTAAAATAAAAAGAGAGATAATAAGACCAAATCAGATAGGGCCCTAAACGTTGGCATGTTGATAACCTTAAAAATGATTGAATTTAAAATTAGTTCTAATTCACAGAAAAAAGAATAATGAGATCAATGCTTTTGAAATATATAGAATACTTCTGCATTGCACAAATACTTTAAAGAATCAAAAAAGTAATGCATGATAATAGATTAGATGAAAAAAATAATGGTGAAATTTTGATAAAAAAAAAAAAGTAACTTATTAAGGATAATAAAATAAAAAACTTATTAATAATAGTTTTGTTTAAAATTCTTACTGTTAAAAAAACTTTTAAATATAAAAATTTTGTTCTGCCTATTAATCGTTTTCATTGTCTAAATTATATATGTTTCCATTATTAAATAATAGTATTGCACATAAAAGAGATCCATTATTACATTAAGTTTTGTTCTTAAAAAAAAAAAAAAATTAAAATTATACAATCTAAAAAATACACCATCTGGCATATACTTTTAATTTTATCCTATTATTATAATGGGGAAAAGTAAAGATAAGGTCATCTTAGCTAGAAACTTGCATAATAATCAAAGAAAAATAATATGTGATCATTACCTTGCAAATCCAACAATCATTCAAAAAGAACTCATGAAGTAGGCTAAAAATAAATTTAAGTTAATAAAAGCCCTAGGCCAAAGCACAATTTCAGACATTTTAAAAAAAAAAGATGAGTTCAGTAAAATGTCTTCAAGTGACCTTGAAGTTAAAAGGCATCATGTCATTATGTTTTCTGAGCTAGATATCACTTTGACAAATTGGGTACTACAATATGAAAATCAGGCTGTATGCTTAAATAGTAACATGATTAAAGCCAAGCCAAAAAATTAGCTGACCTTATAAAAATCCCTGAAAATGACCAGCTGGGTTTTCAAATAGGTGGTTACAAGCTTTTCAAAAAAGACATAATTTTCATTTCTTCAGGTTGCATGGTGAAAGTGGTTCTGCAGATATTGATGCAATTAACTTAAACCTTTCTAATATTATTCATACTACTAATCAGTATTCATTTTGTAATATTTACAATATGGATGAGACAGGTTTATTTTATACTATGGCTTCTGATTACACAATCGCATCTTGCCAAATTGAAGATAGAGATGATAAAAAAAAAAAAAAAAAAAAAAGGTTAATGATTTTAATATTTTTTAAATTGTTTTAATTTATGTTTTAAAACATCGATAATTGTAACAGCTGATAGTTAAACCTAAACTATTTTATTTTAAATGCTTACTGTCCATAATTGAAGGATTAAAACAAAACTGTACAAGAATTATGATTGCACTTATAACCAATGTTGACAGCACCCACAAGCTTTCTTCTTTCATTATTGAGCATTCCAAAAAACCTAGATGTTTTAAAAAAAAAACAAGAGAAGAGCTTGGATTCTATTATCACAACAACAAAAAAGCATAGATGACCATCCTGTTTTTTCAGGAATGGATAAAAAAATTGAATAAAGAAATGGAAGAATCGAACCATCACATTTTACTCATCCTTGACAATGCCACTTTACATATTACTTGTGCTCTTATTCTTAACAATGTAAAAATCCTCATGCTGCCCAAAAATGTAACATCAAAAATACAACCCATAGATGCTAATATCATTGCATCATTTAAACTTCACTATCACTATATGCAACTTCAATGCACAATTGATTATAATGAAGCTGGTAAGAGAGATATATATAAAGTTGACTAACTGCAGATAATAATATAAATCAATTAATCAGTTGGTCAAATTGACAACTAGTCACTCTTGATGTAGTCACAAACTACAAAACCATTCTATCTCTTAATCATAACTAACAACACCAACTAATATCACCAATATTAATTATATAATTCTTATTTACTATTTCTCCTTCTGCTAATATATACATTGCTGATAACCTTATTATTAAAATAAGGATCTTCTCACATCTCTATACCTAAAAAATTACATAATTAATCCCCTGGTCACTATATTAAGATCATGAGAAGGTGAATTAATAATATTCTGATCTGTATGTAAATAAGCAAAAACTTTATTTCTACTAATTTCCCCACAGATCAGAATATTATTATTACAAATATCAACACCTTAACTTATTCAAAATTAAAATTTTTACTAATCTGTATTACTATTGCAGGTCATGAAATGGACAAAAGTCATCTGGAATGAAGTATCTGCTAAAACAATTAAGAATTGCTAGTTAAACACAAAAGTTATATTCCCCTATGATGAAAATAGAGTACCTATTATCCCTCCTTCTAATGAAGGCATCGAAGATATAGAAGAAAACCTACTTGTTGACCCTAATAATGAATTAGTAGTAAAGGAACTTTAGCAGCAAATTGATGCCTTGGGTGTTCATAATTCAATGCCAGTTGAAGATTTATTAAATATTGAAGAAGAACAAGAAGTATATCACCAGTTCACTAATGAAAACTTGATTCAGGCTGCTACAAAAAATAAACAGGAAGAAAATAAAATTGTAATACCATCTTTAACTAGAGAAGAACAATTGAGAATTTTACATTATGCCTTGAAATTGTTAATGAAAGGATTAATAATAGTGAAGTAACAATGAAGTCCTTGCACAAGCTGCAATTCTGTATTCATAAGGAGGTTCAAAAAAAGAAAGCTGAGAAACAAGTTCAACTTAGATTAGATCAATTCTTTAATGCTTAAACAAAATAGTTTTATATTGATCTTATTTTTTATAATAAAACAGCTAACAAAAAAAAAAAAATTTATATCTTTATAGATTTCTCTATCAAAACAGAAAATTTTTAAATGAATAAAAAGCATTGGGTCGATAAAAGCATTCTAGAATCCTTTTGCTTAGTATAATTAAAAATTGCTTGCTTACTTTAATCTTGCATTGTGAATTATAACCAGTCAGTCTAATTGAACCTTTTATCTTGAGGTTTACTAATTTTGCTTCATAGTTCCTATTGGATGATCAAATAATGAAAATGTCATTGAAACAGTATAAAGGTCTAATAGTACAAATACTTTACTAAAATTTTTAAAAGAATTTTTTTTGTTAGAAAATGAAAGGGCATTTTGTAACTAAAATTTTAAGTTATTGGTGATTTTTGAAAAGCTTCAAAAACTTTGAAATTTTATGTTACACCCAATCTTATAATTTAATTGGTAGATAACAGGTGGTGTAGTCTACATTGTCTAATTAGAAATGACATTTACAACTGTCCAATTAGAATTGTAAAAAGAAATTAGGATCTCTTTGTTTTGTACAAAGTGTAAAATTCATGATTTGATTGGTTTGTAATCATATGACACAATTAACAAATCAGAAACCTGAGTATTTAGATTATTGGGTATCGAAAATTGCAGGTTATCAGGTATGAAATAAAGAACAGACCTGGTGGATTGATATTTAATGATTATAAAAGAATATCAGTTTTGACAGAATCAGTTTTGAGAAGGTCGACTGTATATATATATATATATATTTGAAAATTTTTGTAATTAGATAAGAAAATTAGTTTATCTAACAAATACAATTAAAATATTTTTAAAATAGTTAGAAATAATAAATAGATTAGTATTAGTTCAAGATTGTTTAAAAATAATTATAAAAATGTATAAAAAAAAATATAAAAAATTTAATAAAAAACTTTAAAATAAGAAAGATAATAAGAAGAATTAAATTGTTAAGAGTACAAAACTATAATATAAACTAACCTTAAGATTATTATTATTTTTTTTTAAATGTTAAGATAAATACTTGTAATATAAAATTTATTAATACTATATTTTAGTTTTGTGATTATATTACAACAACTACAGAAGACAATTATAAGAAGAATATACAACTAATTATTTATATAACTTTAGTTATTATTTAATTTAAGTAGTTTGTCTAAAGAGTTTATACTAGTTATTATATCTAAAACCTGTTTTTAAGTTCTCTATTTAAACATTCTAATTACTGTATCTATTTATATACCTATTCTATTAACTACTTTAGTTTTTATTGATATAAATATATTATGAATACTAGATCTTTAAAGCAGTTTACTTATATAAAGAAGTTTTAACTTTATACTAAACTTACTAGAGTTTTTAGTACTTCTATTTATAGCTAATTTAATATTACTATAACTAAAACTAATACTTGTTTTTTTTTTCAGTATTAAGATGATCTCTTTGGTCTGAGCTTTTTATTAATACTTATAGCAGGTACATGTTTTATATAGATGTATCTATAATGAACTAATAGACAAGTATACAACTGGCTACATGTGTAACTTTTCTATATTACCTATTTAAGGAGTCTGCCCAAGGGTTCCCTATCAGTTGCTATACCTAATACTCTTGCTTAGATGTTCTATTTAAATCTTCTGATCTAACTCTAGTATTAATTTTACCAAGTAACAGACCTGGATCTATTCGCTATCAACTATAGGACTATAATCTTTAGACTATTTTTATTTTTGAAGTAAACTTACCAGAGTGAGCCATATTTTCTTTTACTGCTAACCTGATTTGATGCTATAACTGAGACCAACACTTGTAGTTAGAGTTATCTCTTAAACTGCTATTATTCTTGTAAAGTTCACCCAAACCCTGGTACCCATCTTTCTGACTTTTTCTCCATCATCCCTTACTAGCCACAACTTGGAACTAACCAACTTCCTAGACTCCCAATCCAGATAGCCTAGTATGGTATACTTATATATTCTTTTCCTTCAGCAATTCTAGTGGCCTAGTTGGTTATGTGCTCCTCTATACATCTTTGTCATCCAGTTTATCTGACAGTTTCTATGAAGGTGTTTCATGGGCTTCCATTAGTCCAATGGCATCATCAAAAGTTTGTGCTACCTCTTTTTTAGGATTTCCAAGTGAGTTTTTGTCTCTTCGGTTTCTTAGCCTTCTATGCTCGATTGTCTTATCATAGGTTTGCCCAAAGCCTTATACGACATCAGTTTTACATTCCTCTATATACATGTACCATGTAATATTACACTTCGCATAGATGCTCCAAGCTCCCAATGTCAAGTAGGACCTGACTTGATGTATCTAAGATTACAGATGCCTAAAACCCAACTGATTAGCAAGAGACAATTACCATAACACAGGTATAATTTCTAAAATTCATCATTTGTGGGAATCAAACCTTAGACCTGCCACTTAAGAGTTAACAACCTATTCACTTTACTAGGTTACTACACCCTTAAAACTAATACTTGTAATTAGAACCAATCATTAAATTGCTATATCTTTATAAGTTTATATAATTACAGTATTTTTTTTTACAATCTTATTAGTATCTTGTTTGCTCTTGCAAGTTTTCTTATATTATCAATTAGTAAGCTTTGCATAATATGACTTTATATCTAGATCAACTAATAGTCAAATTAATAGAGTTTTTTATTTAAGAGTTTTTGTCTATATAGATTATTTATATTAGGTTTTCTGCTTTAGATTAAGATTTTTACAAGTAATATTATTAAAGATCATATTGTTTTTCTATTTAAAATTTCCAAACAAGTCTTTTTTTAAAGTATATACTTTTTTGAATTTATTTGTATAATATTATATATTTTTAAAATTAGTCTTAATATAATTAGAATTATAAGATTACAAGTTTAGATACTTTATCTAAGTTGTCAAAATAGACCTATTTTTTTAAAATTCTATTACTATAGAATTTGAACTTTGAATCTATTATTTGAAAAATGACAATCCAACTACTATATTATAATTATTATTTTTTTAATCTTAAAATTATAATAACTTATTAGAATATATAAATTTAATAATTTAGTATAAAGATTTAATTATAATAGCAATAGGTTTTTATACAATATGTAGATTAAGTAAGTTTTATAAGTTAAAACTAAAATATATAAAAAAAAATTATATTTAACTTAAATTAAGAATAAAAAAGTTAAAAAAAATATTTTTTGCTAATAGAAAATTTATATTAATTAAAGCAACAAATAATAAAATTATTAAAAAAGTACTTAAAAATAAAATTAAAATATTAGCTAATAAGTCACTATTTTTATTAAATAAAAAAAGAAAGATATTTATAATAGAAATTTCTATAATAATAAAGTATATAACAATAAATACTAAAATTAAAAAATAGTTTAAAACTTAGTCTAAGAATAAAAAATACAATAGTTGCTATAAAAGAAAAATATTTTTAATACAAATAAGAATTATTAATAAGTAAAATTCTAAAATTAATATATTATATTTAAAAACTATAAAGTTGGCAAATAACAAAATATTAACAAAATAGGTTTTTAAAAGTCTAAATAATTGACTAACTAAAGTTATATACTCTGTTTATATATAATAAATAAGAAAATCATTAAAAAATAAACTCAATTCTTTTAATAATTCTGTATTATATATTTCATATTAAACAAAATCACAAAACATTGGAATATACAATATTATAAGATTTACAAATCTATTGAAGATCATGTATTAAAAATTGGTATAAATTTTTTTACATACTCTGTAATTTTTTGAATTTATATAGTATTTTTCAAATCATTATTTTTCTCTTATTTTTAAAGATAAAGATTTAAAATTTGCTTAACTTTAATAAAAATAAGTTTTAGTTTAATAATATAAAGTGTTTTTTAATTTATACAAAAGTCAATTGTGTAAAAATCTTTATTAAAGTATTAAAACATGTATTTTTTAAATTACTATTTTTTTCTTATTTTTAAAGATAAAGATTTAAAATTTGCTTAAATTTAATAAAAATAAGGTTTAGTTTAATAATATAGAGAGCTTTTGGTTCATTCAAAAATTAATCATATAAAAATTGAATCGATCAGAATGGTTCTTTAGAATGCAGATAAATAGTACAACTATAGTATAATAATAGTCAATTAATGATAAGTCTTAAAGCTATTAATCGATTATTGTTCATACAACACAATATGATTAGTAAGTTATCAGTTGTGGCTGTGACTGCATCATTTGTCTGCACTTTGAAGGGGTCAACCTGGTTAATTTATAAAAATCTTTGTTAAAATATTAAAAAAAACCTTTTATCATATATATTATATTAAGATAAATATATATATTCTAAATTAGCATTCTATATATAATTCTCAATTAGATAATTTTTTTATAACAAAAAGTTTTTTTTAAAGTTTTAGTAATTGGAAGTTTAATAAATTATTATATATTACAAGTAATTATTTATTTTTATTAAAATAAAATATAATAATTAAATGCAAAAATATTTACAAATATAATATTAGTTTTTGTTTATACTTTAAATTAAAATTTATTATAATATTAATCAAAAAAATAATGTATTAAAATAATGTATCATAAAAATATATCAAAGTAATTTATTAAAAAGAAATACAGTAATAAATTAAATAGTATAATTGTTTATTATAATATTTGTTTAATTAATTACAAAGATAATTTTGTAATATAAATTTATTATAAAAATATTATTTTTTTCTTTTTTTTTGATTTTAAAAATTAAAAATTAAAAATTAAAATAGGATGCTTATCTAAAACTTATAAATATTGTAAAAAAAGCATGTCTTATCAAATATTTCAAACCTTATA